TGTAATAGAGGAACAACATGCGGCGCTAGGACTTGATCTCTATAGCGGACGACCGTGAGATTTCCCTGAATAACGACCAGAGGAGTCTTGATACCATGCGCAATCCGTCTCCATATCATGACTGATCCTCCTCCAAAACGGTCATTCTCTATCACGCAAGTATCTGCATAGCGCTCGTGGGTTCGTCTATAGACACGACGTTGGCCGTCTGCCCGGTAAAGCGAAAACCAGGACTCGTCTGAGAACAGGACCCTCCCCCAACGTTGCATTGGGAAGCGTCTTACGGAATGTGCGTTCAGCCATTGCACTCGTCTGGCACGTCGCCGCTCATTCAGCTGTGGTCCAACATATAGCCGCCGCGGTCTTAGACCGAAGGCACGCAGTCGAGTACGCACAGTCTTTGGATCAACTGGAACATGATGACGCCCAATTGTGTTCCTTGCTGTTTCCGTGGCCGTCTGAAAGCGATTGCGTAGGTGCGAAAGTCGCATTGCCCTATCCTGCCGACGCGTCGTCACACGAGGGCGATCGCTTCGGGGACGGTCTGCAACCCTTCCGGTGGCATGTAGTCTTTGGATGAGACGGCAAATGTTCGATGGATGGACTCCAAATTGATTAGCGACCTGATTTTGCGGGTTGCGTAAGAAGTGCAATGCAACCCCTATCAACTTCGGACAGTCGTGGCATTTTTACGGTGAATTGTTTATGCTTAAAATGTGTGAAATCAAGACGGATATGTCTGAAGATTCGCACACACAGATTTTGAACCAATGCTTTTGTCTCTTCTTCTTTTGTTCAAGCGGCGTGCGCAGTTTAGTTATGCATCAGACATTTTAATACGGTACCATAGGGATCTAACTCAGATGCACACATTTGTCAAGTTTCAAGGGTGTACTTCAAGGATTTAATTTACAATATTAACTTTCTGCTAATTGCGTATCGTTTTCCTCTCAGTATACATTCATTCCTGCATGAGTAGAATTTTAAAGATTTTGCTCTATTTCACATATTGGGCCTGGCACATCCAATCCCAAATGCTGAGACCCATCATTTCATTTATGCAAAATTAATTCTATTTCACACAAGAACGCTTCAGACTTAATTTGGGCAAGATCCAATCATTCCTACATGAGGAGTAGGATTTTTTAAAAAAAAATGCCCTGATTTCAATTATTGAGTCCCACCTTTCCCACCCTAAGAGAGCTAAACTCAGCAATTTTGTATTTGTATACAAAATAGTTTTTCCTTCACCCAAGAATGTTTTGGACCAAATATGGGCAAATCCAATCATTCCTATAGGAGGAGTAGGATTTTCCAAAATTTGCTCTATTTCCCTTATTGGACGTGGCACCTCCTGCCCTAGGGGGCTGAGACCAATCGAATCTCCCTTACCCAAGATTTCTTCACACTAAATCTGAGCAAAATTCAATCATTCTGTTTAAGACTAGTTATGATTTGCAGAAAAATTGACCCATGGCCGGGCGATGGACGTTGTAGTATGCCCTTATGGACAGGTGAGTTAAAATCAGATCTTGTCCATAAAGTTATATTCTTTTATGCATGATTAACAGAAAAAAACTTGCATGGCATGAGGTAGTGCTCATGGTTCCAGCCTTTCATTGTGTTGATGGTGTCATTCTTTATTGTTGCTCCACTTAAAGCTTGTGACTTATGCAGTTCCAGAGGACACCAACGTTTAGGGATATTTTAACTTATAAAGTGTGAAAGAGAGATCAAATTCCAATGTTTCTCACTTGCATTTAAAAATCAAATACAAATCAAACATGAAGCAAGAATGACTTTTAATTTGCATTGGTTTAACAGTTTTCCCATCCACTTGCCTTTTCTTTACAATTAATTTTTATTGATTCCATTTTTAACTTGTAAACAAATACACATACAAACCATGCACACTCTTCAGACTTGTAATGTGATACAACGACAATTAATTAAATTAATTTCATTTATTCACTTTCTTCCAAAAATCTCTTATATATTTTTTTTTAAATCAGCATGTTTGATCAAACCAACCTCTAGAAATGTTCAGCTATAAAAAGAATGCTTTGAATGCTATATATTAAAGTGTGATAGATGTTATTGGTTGAACCAATAATAGTTGACAGTATGATAAATGTTAATGTTTGAACCAATCATGATTAACAATGTGATACATGTTATTGGTTGAACCAATAATGATAAACAGTTACGATGAATGTTATTGGTTGAACCAATAATGATAAACAGTTACGATGAATGTTATTGGTTGAACCAATAATGATAAACAGTTACGATGAATGTTATTGGTTGAACCAATAATGTTAAACAGTTACGATGAATGTTATTGGTTGAACCAATAATGATAAACAGTTACGATGAATGTTATTGGTTGAACCAATAATGATAAACAGTTACGATGAATGTTATTGGTTGAACCAATAATGATAAACAGTTACGATGAATGTTATTGGTTGAACCAATCATGATTAACAATGTGATACATGTTATTGGTTGAACCAATAATGATAAACAGTTACGATGAATGTTATTGGTTGAACCAATAATGATAAAAAGTTACGATGAATGTTATTGGTTGAACCAATAATGATAAACAGTTACGATGAATGTTATTGGTTGAACCAATAATGATAAACAGTTACGATGAATGTTATTGGTTGAACCAATAATGATAAACAGTTACGATGAATGTTATTGGTTAAACCAATTGTGACTAACAACTTATCACAGGAACACAACACACTTCAAACTTTCTGTCCTTTTAAAGGGTATAAATAAGGATAAGAAATACTAATGCTGTGAAGATGAATAAGTACTTATAAATGGGATGTAAAACATGTGGCAGTCATTTTATCATGTGAGATCTTTGACAAGGACAAACCTTTAACATGTTTACATATTTTTTCACTGTATAAAAATTCATCTAAAAAGTTCTGTGAAATGAAACAATGTTTGATACTGCTTTACTTGGCAGACAAACAGAGTTTATGAAATTAAAGCCAATTTTTAAGATTTAATGATGCTCCATGTCTATAGAACTGTTACAGAAGATTTGGCAAGTTTGCTATTAAAGGCATTCAAATCACCTTTACTATTCATCAAAGCATTACAAGCATGCAGATATTCAAATAGATAAATCTGAAATAAATATTATGAAACAGTGGCAATCTAATACAATCACATTTTCAAAATTCCTCAAAACATTGCCCTATATAAAGAGGGGCATTTGTCCAGCAAAGGAAAAGCATCTAAGAGGGATCTTGGCACCTAGAATTAATTAGTTTGGCCTCAATTTGTTCTTTAAAAGTTGTTTTTTCCCCCATTTTTTTTTCTTCGTGCTTGCTCTTATTTACAAAAATATTGAAAAACAGCAAGAGTATTTCAATTATCAAATCCAAGATGGCCGCCTCTCAGCCACTTTTTTTTCTGATCAATTCCAAAATCAAAACATCACAACTAGGGATCAAGGGGAACCTACATATGAAATCTGGGAAAGATCCAACCAGTACATCACAAAATAGCAATAACAAACTTTTATTGTCAAAATCCAAGATGGCCGCCTGTCAGCCATTTTACTTTTCTAATCAGTTCAAAAATCAAAGGGCAAAAATATGGACCAAAGGGGACCAAGAATACCTCAACCACCTTAGATAAGATTTTGCAATACCCAGTTACCCTTTTGATCAGATTCTGTAGTAATCCAACCCACTGGATCAGATTATGCAATACGCCACTCTCTAGATCAGATTCTTTAATATCTCCAACACTCTAGATATGATTCTATAATACCCCACCCTCTGGCTCCGATTCTTTAATACCCTGATCCTCTTAATCAGATTCTGTTATACGTTCACCTCTTAGATCAGATTCTGTAATACGCCACTCTCTAGATCTGATTCTTTAATATTCCCACTCTCTAGGTCAGATTCTGTAACACCCCCAATCTCTAGATCAGATTCTGTAACACCCCAACCTCTAGGTCAGATTCTGTAATACCCCCAACCTCCAGATCAGATTCTGTAACACCCCCAACCTCTAGATCCTATTTTATAATACCCTGACCCTCTAGATCAGATTTTGGTAATATCCCCACCCTCTAGATCAGATTCTGTATTACCCAATGAATTAAACTGCATCATACAGTGTTTTTTGTCCTTCAAGGACTGGTCAGTGATGCTATGGACCTAAATTTTGAAGCCTAGGAGGTGAAAATCCAAAGTGATCGAAAGAAAAGTCGGGGGGATGGAGCAGTCCCGTAATTAGGTAATTTTTTTTATTTACAAATATCAGACTATTTCAGAACATCATCAAGTACATGTGTATATTCTGAACCGTGTCACTATTGGAATGAATTAAAATATGGCATGCAGGTTTCAGCAAACCTCGAGGACTTAAAGTCCATCAGCAGTGTCTACCACCTGCTATCTTAAAGATTGGACACACAAGTGAATATCACCTTTTGGTGATTAAGAACATCGAAGGACACAACCACATAAGTAGACTGGTCTGTTTCTCAGCTTTGTGAAACACAAAAGAGCATTGAAGCATGCACCTCAAATCTTTACCTGAGGTTACACTTACGACTGAGCTATCGAGGCCCTAACACTGAGAGTGGAAAATTTACATTCTAAATTCCACAACATCGCAGAATTAAAGAATACATTCTAAATCATATAAAAATGAAAAAGCATCTTATATATATATATATATCTTGTATATATACAAACATGTATCATGAAAGGCAAATTACACTCAATATTACATACTTTACCTCAGCCTTTCTTTTTGATAATTTTATGGAAATATGTTTAATAAGTTCATGTAAAGAACAGACTTTGAAGCCAATACTGAGAATGCCCACAAGACAACACATACTCCTTTTTGGCTGAAGTGAAAAAAAAGCCTATTTTTATAGAACTATGTTGTATTAAAAATCTATATCAATTTTAAAATAACACTCTACATCAATTTTAAAATAACACGTACTGTAAATATACGGATTTTGACAAAATCAATTTCAGTGCAAAATCTATTCATGGCAATTTACTACATCTACAATTATTGCTTTTTAAACGAAACAATGAAATGCTAGAATAAGCGCAAGGATATTTAAGTGCAATAATACAGTGTAACAGAAACAAAATGGCACTTGTGTATTAGTCTAAAATAGGTTGTAAAAATTTTGTTTGATTTCTATTTCACTATATAAATTATTATGTAGATTACACTATTTGATTGATTTCGCATTGACAATCAGGTTTTCCTATAAAACAAAATAAGGACACCAGACACATGTAGTTTTCAACAAGAAATCAACTGACAATCTTGTGACGAAACATTTCTGTTGGAACATATCTGATACCAGAGATCAACAGAAACAGAATCCTCACAGTGTGAGATTGTTAAACACATAATAATTATATAAAGTAACGGACAAATTTTCACTGCATTTCAGAGCAAAAAATCACATAACATATTTAAATAAGTAAATAATAAATTACAGATCTTACATGAGTTTCCAGTCATATGAGACAATTAAAGTCTACGAATTGTTTTACGGAACCTCTGGCGAGGTAAAATGAAAAATTCATGCCAAGTATCAATAATCACATAGGTTCTGGTTTTATTTTTGCTTTACATTCTATAAACAGCTAAAGTCATTTAAAAATATTCAAAAATTGGTTGGTGGAGGAAAACTGAGTTCCAAGAGAAAACGCCATTGAACTGCAGCCTGCATCTGGCGACTGCCCCATGAAGGCCTCAAACACATGACCTAGAGATGAAGTATCTCATATGAAATTGAAACTCATGTAAGATTCTGTTTATCACATAATGAAGAAAAGACATCATGTAGTTATGATGTCATAATTAAAACAATGGTAACCTTCTGCCAATCACAGATCCACTTGGTGACATTACCCATGTTGTCCCAACATGATTTAGGTAATGGGCGTTATTACAATGATACCAAATGATGAAACAATATTGATTTGTGATCAGTCACAAAAAGTGAATCTTAAATGATTTTTGTTGTAATATGGAATTTTTTAAACAAAGTTCCATACTGTGATATGTCACAAGATATTTGCCTTTCTAAAACTTTTTCTATAAGACTTATTTTGATATTCATGGACACTACGTTTTTCCCTGTCAGGGCATTTGAAATAATAGGGAATGTGTTTTTTCCCTGTTCTATCATGTTTCAAATTTCATAATTTTGCAGAATATTTGGTTTTACTGACATTTTCCCAGCCTTTAAAGTTTCATACTGCTAACCCCTATAATTAGGTTGTTGTTACTTTAAGTCCTATTAACAGTCAGGGTCATTTAAGGATGTGCCAGGTGTGGGTGGTGGAGGAAAGCCAGAATTCACTGAGAAAAACCACTGACCTGCAGCCAGCCAAAACACACAGACCTTGAATCAGTGACCCAGAGGCAGAAAGCTAGTGATTTTTTTAAACCCCTCCCCCCATATGAAAATATAGACTTCATTTCATCCTACAGAAAAATAGATTTTATGAAATACTCAGATACAGATAATTTCACCTCATACATCACGTCATTGGAAAAGGGAAATGTACATACTGATGTAATTTACGAAATTTCTATTGTTGGTTTAAATGAAAAAACTAATGGATACCATATGTACTGTTTAACTTAAACTGTTAATGGGTTCTCTCTTTCATGGTTTAAGCCGAGGTTTAGGGAAGGACTTTCAAGGATGTTAAATAAATATTCACAAGGTTCTTTCATCAGAAGATCTATTAGTTAAATTTAATTTTTTTGGTTTGTTCATAGCCACAAAAAATGATGTAGGTTTCTAAACGACCAACATTATTTGTTATACAGTATATAAACAGGGATCATCCTGTAGGAGGTTAGAGCACCATTGACTAAAAATCACTGAAAATGGCCAATAGCTCTGAGTCCCCGGAATTAACGTGTTAACATGTAGGACATTCACCATATCAAATAAAATCACTTAATAACACGGTAATCTAACAACTAACAACATCTTTTTGTAAAACAGTAGATCACTTTACCTCCAGTATTTGTACAAGTCTACTTTAGGATGGGGAACGTCTGGGTAACCCACCCATTCTTCAGTGTATAATAATGTTCATTAAAAGATATTTTTTCTCTCCTTTGTAGAGTAAAACATTTGGTTACATACTGGATCCTCTAAGACAAAATCTGATGGGGGACTGTAGGGGTTTGGCTTCATGAGTACACATCTGTAATTGTCTAGTTATCCATTCTCTACATATGGATTTCCAACTGAAAAAAAAGCATATGAGTGAAACAAGAAAGAAAGATATATTTATTAATAAGCTATCTATTTGATATGATATAGGTATTTCATTATCTAGATGTATTGATGCTACTGAGCATCCTTGTGTTATTGGTAATTATAAGGTTACACTCATCACTTAACAGACTGTCAAAAATTGTTCCGTTAAAACTGACAAAGAAAAAGTAAAACTTCAATATCTTTCCATTCATTACTGAGAAAATCAGTATAAATAGAGAGTATCTTGTCGACTTAACCATCCAGTGCACCTTCCCATCTAAAGTTTGCTTTTTCATCTTTTAATCACTTTTTTTCCTCTGTTGCCTCAAAGGTTCAGGCCATTTATATCACTTACAAGTCCTAGAAGGATGAAATAGCTGTATGATGTAGTTTAATTCATTATTTGGCTCTACTGCATTTTAAAATTCATATTAAAATGTGTTTCTCACTTGTGTGTCTTTTGTATATGTTCAAGATTGACTGAAAGATGTTTGTACTAAGTCTGCGCTGACTAACCTGACTGAGGGACAGCGGTAACATCTCCGAGCTGACTTACCTGCCTGAGGGACAGTGGTAACATCTCTGAGCTGACTTACCTGACTGAGGGACAGTGGTGACATCTCTGAGCTGACTTACCTGCCTGAGGGACAGTGGTAACATCTCTGAGCTGACTTACCTGACTGAGGGACAGTGGTGACATCTCTGAGCTGACTTACCTGACTGAGGGACAGTGGTTACATCTCTGAGCTGACTTACCTGCCTGAGTGGTAGTAAAGACTATGTTTTCTTTCCCCATCTGTTGTATATGTAGATGGTTGTGGTAGTGATGTTCTTCCACACAGGTGTTATTACAATTTTTACACATCTTTTTAGGTGAACTACCGATACCTCTCCTGGGATCTACAATGTAGCAGATCAAAATGATCTCATTTCCTATCATAATCTGTTACACTAACAAATACTTAATGACATTACCACTTTTATCAATTAACCATCCTTTTCAGATGTAATCCTTTCTATTTTTTTTATTTATTTTATAATTCTTTAATTAATTTCTTTTAATTAATCAAGAAATTTGAGCCTTTCTTTCATTAAAGTGTTCTTGAAATTTGGAATTGGTTTTCACCTAATGGAGAAAAAAAGCTATAAAACTAAACAGAACAGTTATCTGCATAAACAATGAAATATAAAGACTTTCATTATGATTCCTGCATTGATCTATAAATTACTACACTACAACAAATTCAATGGAATCTTACAGTCACAATAATGAACCTGTGTTGCAGTTTAATCAATCAGCTGAATGATAAACAAGATATCCCAGAGGGATCTTGGTGCCCACCATTGTTTGATCTTTATATGCTCTTTGAATGTTGGATCTTTTCCCTTCTTTTCTCTTCTCTGATTTTGCTTTTAATGATAAGACATTTGAACATTCCTTTGCAGAAATAGCAATGATAATCTTGAGCTGAAAAATCTAAAATGGCCACCTGGAAGCCATTTTGTTTCTACTGATCAATCCCAAAATTAAACAAGCACAAGAAGAGACCAAAGGGAACATACATATCAAACTTTAGAAAGATCTATACAGTAGTTCTTGAGAATTATTGATAACAAACTTTCAAAGTCAAGATCTCAGATATCAATCTCTCTCGTATTTTGTTTTTCTGATCAGACCCAAAATCGAAACGGTAAAACGGGAAATTTAAGAAAGATCCATCAATTACATCTCAAGAAATAGTGATAACAAACTTTCAAAGTCAAAATCCAAGATGGCCACCTTGAGGACATTTCTGATCACCCCCAAAATTAGATGAGCACAACTAGGGACCAAAAGGAACCTATACATGAAATGTGAGAAAGATCTATACAGTAGTTCTCAAGAAATATCGGTAACAATCTGGCAAAGTCAAAATCCAAGATGGCTGTCTATCAGCCATTTCCTTTTTCTGATCAGTCGCAAAATCAAACTGACACAACTAGGGACCAAGGGGACCATCTGCTGATGGTGGGCTAAAAATCAGATGCCAAATAATACAAATTTCCTCTCAGCTCACCTTGATATAAGTACAATGAACAAAAACCAACAAATTGTGCGATTTTAGTCAAAATCACCTCAAGGAATGAAGCCACTTGAGTAGTGACATGGAGTCACAGTGACCATGACAGTACAATCATGAAAATCAATCTTGTGTGAGATGTTATGGTCCTTCATGAGCATGTGAAGTTCAACGAAAATCCCGAAGAAATAACACCACTAGAGCACTGACAAGAACTTTCTGAAAATAGCAATAGTGATCTTGACCTTGACTCTTAAACACTAAAATTACATCTCGCCTGAGATATAAGTTTATAGAGTTTGAGGAAAATCCCTTGGAAAAATGAAGCGAGTGCTAACAATGATAAAAGCTACATTATAAATGAACCCATATCCTACAACGTACAGAAACATCCCATATCCCCCTCCCTCCACTCTCCAACATTTGTTGTGAGAGGATAATAATTGTAATCATGATTATAACACTGTAACTGAAAGCCTCCTCATATACACTACTGCCTGGTAAATATGACTTATATAGTTGTCTAAAGATTAACTTAATGCTATGAGAAACAGGAAGAAGATTTGAAGATTTAAGTACATACCTGCCCTACCTGGGATAGTGGCGACACTTGACCCTGAACCACGGTTCTTTTCAATGTAGAACTCTGCTGCTATATCATTTACATCTTCATCTGAAAAAGTCCAAATAAAAAAATATCAGAAAACCAACATGTATACATACTTCTTTGTTTATACATGTAGTATGTGTATTTTTCATTTTATTTGTAGAAATGTCACACATCAAATTTCATCTGTGCTATCTATAGGACTGGAGAGTATCAACATATGAACATATTCCTAGTTTACTGATTATATGAATAGGATTTGAAATATTCCTATCAAAAATAAACATACTTCACATACCTGATATCTGCAAATGTTCAGTATTACAAGTATTACGTGACACCCCTCTCACCAAGGTGAACCCAGACCCTAAGTATGAAACTCCAGTGACAAGTAGTGTAGGAGAAAGTACTCTGACAAGATAGCACAGCGACAGACAGACGGAAGGACAGACACAATGCAAAACTATAGTCTCTTTTAGTTTGCAGTGGGAGATTATGATATTTCTGAAGAAATTGCTAATGACATGGATGGAAATGAGAGGATATTAATTCAATATTGACATTCAACAAGAAATGTCCATACTCTAATTAAGCTCACCCTAAGCAAGATTTCCCAGTTTTGTAAGAACAATAAATTTCACCCCGATTTTTCATTTCTAACAAATAAAGTGTTTCCTATTTCTTTTTGTTGAAGACTATATGTCCAACCTACCATAAACTTACTGGATTAATTGCATCAACTTTCTGCACTTACAACATCAGCATATTTTCCGGGTGACTAAGCTTCAAATCTAAGGCATTTTCAGCTAAATTTTTATCCGATACTTGTACATATTTTTGAGTGCATTCTGACACATTTTAAAAATTAAAATTAAAATCATGTCTGAACATATCTATACAACACAATTAGAAAGGTAAGTGATCATCTAATTATCACAGGAAAATGTGTTATCATACCTGTTACAGCAGAACCCTTGTCAGTCAATGTCCATAATGGTTTAGCTCCAGGTAACTTTCTCGTTATTTCTTTTTTTTCCAGAAAATAAAGCCAGCTGTTGGCACATTTCTTTGTGTCTCCAATTCCCGTTTTCTTTGCAACATCTGCAGCTTTAAGGGGACTATTTGCATTTTTAAAAACGTCAACAATCTTTTTTAAATCATCTGGGGAAAAAAGAAATATATAAATCAGGTATAGCTTAGTATCTTATTCAAACAGGAGTGGAGAATCAGCAAGTATGACAATGACGATAACAAGGAACTTGAGGAGGACAACAAGGAGGAGGAGACAATTTTCATCCATCACATTAAGTTGATAGAACTAATCTGTGACTTCCTTTACAGTGACATGTGTACAATCACTGCTATATTTAATGTACTTTTAATACCAAGCATTGAGGTTGCACTATAGGACTAGAAATTTATATTTGTGTTGTCTAACCTTGATTTATTACCACCTATAGCTCACAGGAGTCACTAGAGGGATATAGCATCAAGGCCATCCATCTCTGTATAAGAGTACTTACCACGACATATCCGTTCCTCTGGCCCAAGACTACTAGTGTACATGGTCACACTGGACTCTCCTGATTTAACAATCTCCATGGCTGCTAAAGGTTTGGCTAAAATATAATTTTTTTCAAAAGGTTACCACTAATGGTATTTTGGATTTATAATCAAAGTATCTTTGTTTTATTAAGACTTTAAGCCTACATACACTTCTGTACATTATTTTTTATCCTAAATAATAATTAAAGACACTACTACAGAGTTCTACATTAGGAGTGGTGGATCATTAAGTAACTATTATCTTAAATAATACTATTAACCTTGATCTTTGACTCATGACTTGATAATCAGTAGGTTTTATCCCCTCGTAAAGGAGGACAAGAATGCAAAAACTGGATATCATGCCACATATTCTGCATTTTAATGAATTGACCTTTTAAATGACTTCAAAAGACTATGAACTTATTAGAAAGGTGAGACACATTTTGGTTATTAAAGCACTTTAAGATGCTTCCCTTCATATCAAGCATTTCATTCTGCCATAGCTGAGTGTAACCCCTTTAGGCCCCATCCATCAGCCCCCTGACGGTCAGCCAGGATCAATATGGGCATACTGTCACGCCGTCATCTTTTGCTCATAATTCTAACCAAGTTTGAAAAATTTCTAAAGGAAATTAAACAAATTATGCTCAAAAATGTATTTTTCCTATATAAATAATAGTAAACTTTACCCCTCCCCACGAAGAAATGGGAGACCCTGGGGCAATGAAATTCACAATTTCTGTAAAGCACCTTAATATGCTTTCATCCATGAAGAGCAGTTGATTCTACCATATCTGGGTGTTGAGAAGAAGTTTTTTTGAAATCCAGGTCAATTTGACCCCTTTTGGCCCACCCCTCAGGCCCTTGTGGGATGGGAGCTGTATAATTCAAAAATTTTGTTCATCTTAGGCCCGGGAAAATTTCTGTGAAATTTCATTGAAATCAGATCTGGAATTTTGAGAAGAAGTCGAAAATGTAAAATTGTTTACAGCCGCATGAAGCATGACACACGATGAAGGTGATCACGATAGGTCATCATGAGACTTGTCTCAGGTGATCGAAAATGCTACTTACTGAGACAACATTCAATGCTTTGTTGTTCTGCCAAAGACATTGTATCTTCCCTTCCATGTTTCATGGTGTTGCCAGCAGTGGAAACTGGAGGCTGTGGACACAGTGGGTCTGCCACTCTATAGTGCTTAGTGTTGCCAGCAGTGGAGGCTGGAGTCTGTGGACACAGTGGGTCTGCCACTCTATGTTGCCTCGTGTTGTCAGTGGTGGAGGCTGGAGGCTTTGGGAACATCAAGTCATCCTCCCAATGTTGCCTGGTGTTGGTGTTAGTGAAAGTGCTTGTATTTTCTCTTGAATTATGCTTGGACTTTGTAACTTCAGCATAAGATTCCCTGGAGCTGAGGTTATATGAAAAGTGGAGTTGCTCACTGGAACTTTGCTCCACATTGGAAACATGCCCACTAGAACCTATTTGCTGACAGGAAGTTTGCTCATTTTTTCTCCTCACGCTGTGATCTCCAATTTCACTCACTTCAGGAATATGCATGAAAATCATTGAAAATTACATTGAAAGCCAAGCAAATATCTTTAAATATGTTTTTTGCTCACATGGTTTTGGTTTGTATACATAGCAGTCAACAATAAGTTTATACATTATATCTATCACTTATACTACAATAAATCATATTAAATCTCTAAAAATCTTTTACACAAATGGGAGTTGCACTTATGGTGTCAAATTTCACATATCTAATTCAAGTTTGTGCTTTAATGATAAAGCCACATTTTTAACTTCTCATAATTACCATTGTTTTCCTGATTTGGCTGGGCATCAGTCTCGGAAGGCAGTGACCATATGTCCATGCCTTCTTTCTTCTGGACACAGACTAAACCTCGTTCAGAAAGAAGCTTCAGACACCGACAGATCTGGTTATCATCAAGGTGTTGGTTTTTAAATTTTTTATGGAAATCCCTTACTGATAAAGTGTGGCTGATCAATAAGGATTCATAAATTTGACTGGCAACAACTTCTGTTGAGGAGAAAGAAGAGCAATTAAATAAAATGGAGTGTTTGTTGAAATCATATTTGCTCCAAGAGTATTTATTTCAGTTTCATTTTTTTATTTTCTCTTTATTACCATGAATTCAATAATCAGGAAAGGTAAATCTAATTATAAGCAAATCTGCATTAATTGATTTAATGGTTCTAACACTTATTGACTACATGGTTCTAACACTTATTGACTACATGGTTCTAACACTACATGGTTCTAACACTTATTGACTATATGGTTCTAACACTTATTGACTACATGGTTCTAACACTTATTGACTACATGGTTCTAACACTTATTGACTATATGGTTCTAACACTTATTGACTACATGGTTCTAACACTTATTGACTATATGTTTCTAACACTTATTGACTACATGGTTCTAACACTTATTGACTACATGGTTCTAACACTTATTGACTACATGGTTCTAACACTTATTGACTACATGGTTCTAACACTTATTGACTATATGGTTCTAACACTTATTAACTAAATGATACTAACACTTATTGACTATATGGTTCTAACACTTATTGACTACACGGTTCTAACACTTATTAGCTAAATGATACTAACACTTATTGACTACATGGTTCTAACACTTATTAACTAAATGATACTAACACTTATTGACTATATGGTTCTAACACTTATTGACTACATGGTTCTAACACTTATTGACTATATGGTTCTAACACTTATTGACTACATGGTTCTAACACTTATTAACTACATGGTTCTAACACTTATTGACTATATGGTTCTAACACTTATTGACTATATGGTTCTAACACTTATTGACTACATGGTTCTAACACTTATTGACTACATGGTTCTAACACTTATTGACTATATGTTTCTAACACTTATTGACTACATGGTTCTAACACTTATTGACTATATGGTTCTAACTTATTGACTACATGGTTCTAACACTTATTGACTATATGGTTCTAACACTTATTGACTACATGGTTCTAACACTTATTAACTACATGGTTCTAACACTTATTAACTATATGGTTCTAACACTTATTGACTATATGGTTCTAACACTTATTGACTATATGGTTCTAACACGTATTGACTACATGGTTCTAACACTTATTGACTACATGGTTCTAACACTTATTGACTATATGGTTCTAACACTTATTAACTAAATGATACTAACACTTATTGACTATATGGTTCTAACACTTATTGACTACATGGTTCTAACACTTATTAGCTAAATGATACTAACACTTATTGACTACATGGTTCTAACACTTATTAACTAAATGATACTAACACTTATTGACTACATGGTTCTAACACTTATTGACTATATGGTTCTAACACTTATTGACTACATGGTTCTAACACTTATTGACTACATGGTTCTAACACTTATTGACTACATGGTTCTAACACTTATTAACTACATGGTTCTAACACTTATTAACTATATGGTTCTAACACTTATTGACTATATGGTTCTAACACTTATTGACTATATGGTTCTAACACGTATTGACTACATGGTTCTAACACTTATTGACTACATGGTTCTAACACTTATTGACTATATGGTTCTAACACTTATTGACTATATGGTTCTAACACTTATTGACTATATGGTTCTAACACGTATTGATTCTATGGTTCTAACACTTATTGACTATATGGTTCTAACACTTATTGACTACATGGTTCTAACACTTATTGACTATATGGTTCTAACACTTATTGACTACATGGTTCTAACACTTATTAACTACATGGTTCTAACACTTATTGATTACATGGTTCTAACACTTATTGACTACATGGTTCTAATATTTATTGACTACATGGTTCTAACATTTATTGAGTATATGGTTCTAATACTTAGTGATTATATGGTTCTAACACTTATTGACTACATGGTTCTAACACTTATTGACTATATGGTTCTAACACTTATTGACTACATGGTTCTATCACTTATTGACTATATGGTTCTAACACTTATTGGCTATATGGTTCTAACACTTATTGGCTATATGATTCTCAGACTTATTGACTACATGTTTCTAACATTTAGTGACTACATGGTTCCCAAACTTATTGACCAAATTGCTCTGGGAAGGAGTCGGGGGATAGGTATCTTCATTCTTCGTATAATTATGATATACACCTGAAAAGTAACTGAGTCCACCTTTGGGGTAATTTATTGGATGGTTTACAATACTTAATGACTGGTTTGAGAAATCCCAATCATATATAGTCTACAACATGGTGGTGTGTTGGTACTGGTCAGGTGGCACAGTGTTAACACAACAATCGTGATTTAATAGAAGTTTGATACCTTGTTTTGCAATTGTTGTAAAAGTAGATAAGTTTATAACACTATGCTGATGGAAAAATAAAATAAAACATTTTCATATGAACAAATCATCAGTAACACTATGTGAATGCTTTAAAAATTCACTAGATTACTGATTATTTTACTATGGAACTGTCCATTTACCAAATCATATCTGTTCATCATTTAATGCTTTATTACTAGAAACTAATCAATCATTCACGTCTATTTCAAGCGTACAAGTAGTTACATTGTATCATGGAGGAAATCTCAATCATTCTTCAGCTTACATGGAATCTATAACCATGCATATATGTTGAAAATGTATAGGTATTCGTTTATATGCATTTACTGTATTTGTAAATGGGTCTGGCACATTTAATACAAGAGGCCTATTGGTCCTGTATCACTCACCTGACTTTGTTCTGTGAAGCTGCTTATCAAAATATATCAACTTTCCCATTAGATCACATCCCTCTGCTACCAGGAGTCAACCAAACCATTCAAACAAAAGTCCCCTTCAACCAAGAATACTTTACACCAAATTTGGACAAAATTCTGACATTCCTCCTGCAGAAGGATTTTTTCAAGAAAAATGCTCTATTTCTCCCACTGCATCCCATTCTTTGTATCCCAGGGGGCCAAGATACAATATTAAATCCCCTTTAGTAAAGTATGCTTCATACCAAATTTGGATAATATCCTTTCATTCCTTCAGAAGAAGGAGGATTTTAAAGTTTTGAGTCCTGCTACCTGAGAGCTCAAAGGCTCCATTCAGACAAAGCTGGTTCCCCTCCCTCAAGAGTGATACAAAACTAATAGCAATTTATTGGAAAAGTTGCCAACTGACAGATGTCAAAATGATATTGTTCCATTGCATAGACACACTAGTACCTTGGTCCTTCATGATCAGGCCACATGAGCTAAAAATACTTAATTTTCTCTCTGAAGTTGTAAATATGTGTTTGCACATTACAACATATTTTTCTATTCTTTATTTCATTTATATTCATATACAATGTACATGTACTTCTTTTCGTCATACATCAAAATTATTCAGAACATCAAACACCATATATAGCAATGTCCCTAATCTGATGTTAATGTCCCCTTGAAGTAAGCACATGCCCATAGATTACGGAGTTATATAATATACAACATTTTATCTTCTCAAAAACCTTATCAACCAACGCCTGCTTACAATGACAACCAACATATATGAACCAGAAGTAAATGTCACATGATGTGCTGTTGGTATAATATGATATCAGAAAACTTGAAGAAAATACCGACATGTCAACATATTCGTAATTTGCTGAACTTATGTCTGGCATCATGGTCTCATCTCAATTAAATAAGAGCATATTATGACTGAAATATTTTTTTCCTGGCCATAACATTATTATAACACGAACTTTGTACTAGGCCTTACAGTTGAGACGATGAGTCAGTAATGTATGTCCTGCTGACATAGGACTAACAGTGAATGATTAATGCTATTTCCTGTTAACAATCAAATTCAAATCTCACCGTCTGTCATCCCGGAACAATTTTAAAGCGTATATTGATAACAACATCGAACCCGCTGGAAAATGACGTACTGGGGAATCCCAGAAATACGACCGGGAAATCCCCAAAGTTGATTTTTATCCAATGAAAGTGTGTTTCGTTATTTGCACCATATCACCAAAACACTTACTGGCTGTTGGAGAAGTCTTAATACCACAATGAATATTTTACACCACAAAAGGTAATGTTTGCATTAGTTCCTATCATGGGTGTACCTTTTGAGTGTCCTGGGAGGAATGTTAGTTAAGACATTTTTATAGATTTTTTGTATCATACCATTACACTTTTCGGTCGAACGATCAGGACGTTTTTTTGCATGTTGATTGACAGTGGTGTGACGTGTATAATACGAAAGATATAAATGAAATATCTTAATTAATAAACTTCTGGGCACTAAATATGTCTCAGGTCACTTTCAGGACAACCATTCCTTCCAGAACACTCATTAAATACACTACATATCAATGGTCCAAAAGAAACAAAACGTTCGAGTTTGATAGAAAGGGGATGAGTGAGCTTACAGGAATCCGACGTTCTAGATACGTGTAACACATTTTCTCAACATCGGTTGGAGTCTGCTATATATTTTGGTGCAGACATTTTGTTGAACTGTACCGCGTGAACTATTTACCTACATGTACATGTACATGACCTAGAACCCTAGGTAATTTGGGTTATTGTAACATGTGACGCTTTTCAAAAGAAACAAAAAATTGTGATTTAATCCATTCGTCATAAAATATTATGAATTGGTATTTGTTTCAATGGCAAACTTGAGTATTGCTTGATACCAGAGACGTATATAACATATACGTCTCTGTTGATACTCATTTTTATGTCAAACATATGCATCCTCCCCGATATCATTAAATAGCCTGTCAAGCCATTCTCGTATGCCAGTCTATATGACATGCCTAAGTGTAAAATGATGCATTTAATACTTAAAGGAAAAATATTTTACCTTAAGGGCAAATCTATTCTTTGTTATTTGAAAATATTTGACAAATATAGCAAGCCTACTTATTACCTACCTGGCAGGATCTCTGAAACCAGGAGATTCCCCCAATTTTGATCCATACAATCTAGAGGTGGGTCTGGGGAGTGAAAATTGGGAAACGCTCAACAGAATTGAGAAAGTTGGCAGGTGTGTTATTTTGTGCATGTTTTTTTTTTTTTACCTTAACATTACATGATTTTACCTTTAATGTAATATGTACTATTTGATGTTATTCACTATTTAAGAGTAAATAAATACGACCACTTCACATCATGCAAATTAAAAATATGCATTGTCTGACCCCAACCAATGTGCAATAGACTTGTCCAAAAAAAAGCATGTGTTTCGACAAACACATTAGTTTATTGAATAAATTTCACAGCATGAACACATTTCTATACATATATTTGTTTGATTGCAACTCATTGACGCAACTTTGCTACCAAGATACGATTATAAATGGGACCGATAGTAATGTACTAGGGATATAAAACTAAAATATGAAGATTATATCATTCTTGTTATTTTAGTAGTGTAATAGCTATGTTCCACATATAGATTGTCCAATTCTTTTAGGGAGTGTAACCCTGGTAGAGTTGTGTAGCCGCAATAAACTGTTCAGCTAAAAAACAAGTTCTCTTTAACATGAGTCAGAGGTAATGATATATATACCAGTAATGACCTCTGTTGTCAATGGTTTCATGAATTACTTTAATAATTAAGTTATGTCCCTGGTTCTTTGGATACTGTAGAAGTCTGTGGCCAAATAATAATTACTTTAACATATATTAATAAAAAGAATAATATCAAAGACGGGAAGGGGTGGTGGAAAAGGCCATGTTGATGTTGAAAATATCAAAATGATATAAAACATCTTGATGTTTGCACTTCTTTCAGTATGAAGGATATCACTGTCCTTTGTGATAGTTGTTGATTTATTTGTCCACAACACAAGTAAACATAAGTATTTCATGAGATCTGTAATATCTCTTCCAGACAGATCTAATTACTGGATCTTTTATATAAAATAGGCAGTGCAAGAACAAGTGTAAATTTTTCCATATGAGGTGCAAATTTAGCCAACAATTTAGAAGTCCCTTTTAAAAGTTAAGTCTCTGTTTTTAGGCTAAACATAATGCAGTCATGATTTCAGCATATCGTCACAGGGCTTGGAAGTAGATGCTACTATCAATCCTCAATTTCTGGTTGGTTCAAATTTTCCAACATGTTATCTACCACACCTAGCGGCAGTTGTGTGCTCAAAATAATGCCACAATTTTTCCAAAACAGTGAATGCTGTCGCTGTGAGACAAGCATGTGTTATACTGCAAGTGACAGGTCACACTATTCAGATTGAGATTTGCATCAGTCACTAACTAGCATTGCCGTACACCATACACTTGGTACCAAGTTTCATATTGATAGTTGTGCAATTGGTATAGTAATGGAGACTTAAATTTTCCCCAGCTGAAAACGGCATATATGTATATTGTTTATGACACATGAGACAGTGTCTTGATACTGTATATCTTAAAGGAAGTTAATGACATCAGAAGATAAGTGCTAGAGTAAAATACCTTAATATACAAAGTTTCAGTGTTGTATAAAAAATGACTGAGTTAAGAATGATAATGACAGATTGGCATGCATGTGTACATTTTATACTAATATAGCAAGGCTAATCATGACGTGCCTTCAGACACTATTGCTTCAAATACTCATAGAAATTAGTGATACAAAACATGCATTGTTAATATGATTATAATACAATCTTGTATAAAGTTTCATATTAATATTTGTAAACGTGGTTGTGTTATGGAGTTAGATTTCCCTGGTGGTACAGGTGGGTGTTGTGTATCACACTTGAGAGCAGTGTCATCTTGTTAGTAGTTGTTATATGTTGGTTTAATCTAACAATACTTTTATCAGAGATGTATGTAACACATAAATGCCTATGATTTTATATTCATCGTCTCATAGTATTATGCATTAGTTGCGTATTTTAAGAATCATTATTTAATAAACAATAAATAGGCCTATTTGGGATTGGTAAACAATTCAAAACTTTCCTTTATTGTTGTCATCCTTTTGATATCAACTAAATCCTTTATAATCTGCTGTAAAACTTGATGGAAAATTTGTATTCTGAATTCCAAGTTAGGTCATTGATAGTCATTCACTACAGAAAGTGTTTGATTGTGTTGTGTTGCATATGATGGATTGTATATCTCACATTAAAATTACAAATATATATTGCCAACATGTTTAGTCTCTCAGTACTTTGATTAGTTTTTACTTAAACGAGGGACATCAATAGATGTTCTGTTTTGCCTTTGATGAATGTTCTGCTTGTCGCTATCTTTAATGTGTACATATTAAACAGAATGTACAATATATTTATGATAATTGTAACACAGCTGGCATGTTCGCAACAAGGACAACATTGAGAGAGTTCGAAGGGATGAGGCAAAGGCAGCCGAGGAGGAGAAGGAAAGGCTTCGGAAGGTGGCGCTTGCTGTAAGTATACCATATGATACAGCAGGTCCTACCTGCTGACCTGATTTATATCTACATATGGTGGTTAGGCTTTGCACTGTAAGTAAGGAACAACATACTCAATTTATTGTCACAACTTCATTTTTCCAGAGTTCACTGATGCAATAATTGGTAAATGTACTGTTAAGAAAGGAATTGTCAATTCTTAATATACTGCATTAACTTCATTGTATATATACATTAAATAAATGTGGTTTGGAAAATATTCATTATTACATGTTGATGGTGGACCATTCAAATTGCCCTGCATCTGTGGTCTTTAATCTTTGGTCTCTCCTTAAACAATTCTAATCATCACCATTTCTTGAGAACAACTATGAATATTTAAAGGTTCCCTTGGCACCTAGCTGTGCCCTTTTGATTTTGAGAGAGGTCAGAAAAACCTAATGAATGACAAACGGCATCTTTTATTTTGTGGCTAGGAAAGTTTGTTATTGAATTCCCTTAAGAAGGACAGCAAGATGTTTCTTGAATTTCATAGTAGTTTCCCCTTAGTCACTTATTGGGCCATTTTGATTTTGGCACTAAACAGAAAAAAGAAATTTCAGACAGGCAAACATCTTTTCTTTGACTTTTAAATATTGAAATATTGAATATTGAGATAAAGAAGTTTTCACTTGTGTGCAACTTGTTCATTTATGTAAAATCATCTTTAAGTAAAAAATTTAAAGTAGGTAAAAAAATGTTGGCATAGTATTTTTTAATAACATTATTCCAGGTATTGCAGAGCATCTATGCTCCTTGCCTTTCCACTTTCAGTAAGAATTTTTCTGTGTTATGTATTATTGAAACAATTGTGTAGATGAAAGTCTCACACATGTTAACAGTATAGAGATTTGCTCGAGAGCCTTTAAGGGCTTCATTGTTGTTAAAGATAACAAATAGAAAATGAAACCACTATTGGTACACATTATTGTATACTAAAATATATGTCTTAAATATTGTATATATATATTTGTTTTATGTATGTATGTTTCACAATTGGTCCTTCATTGATTTGCAAATTAAATATATTGAACCTTGATAGTTCTAATAATTTACTCTATAATTTTATTAAAGGAACAAGAAGCAAGGACAGAAATCTTAAGACAGAAAGCTAGATCTCAGAGGCTACCCTCCACCAGCAGCAGCACAGTTACCTCCCCTGAAAAAATAGAAGATCCTGAAGTGAGTGGGAATGAAGTGAAGGCCAAGACAGACCTAGATGTGTATGGTTCAAACAATCTTGTCTCTGACATATACACTGGATCAGGAGGTCACATCAATTTCTTCAAGGACACAGAAGGAGTAAGTGGTAGATATGTACCTGTACATATAAGTGTAATCAATTCATGTGTGTGTATTTGTATATATTTCTGTACATAAAAAAAATTCTGCTGATTAAGGTTATTAACTCACTGTAAGGTTCAGAAAAATACATCTTTGAAATCTAAAGGTTCAAATATAGTCCCAGTGCCCTTGAAATATTCTTAGCCAAACTTTAACCAATCACACATGACAAATTATTTGGCTGCACAGCTGATACATCTACTGTGGAGTTCTCATGAAATCGGAATCAAGTACAAACAAAATTTTCAGCTGTTTTTGTATCTTACCGTATTTTACCGCAAATAAGCCCCCCCCCCACCCTCCACACAGTTTAAAAAGACTTGTCAAAAAAGGGGAGGGGGCTGATTTGCGGGCAATCCCCCTGTTCACGAGATGTACGAGTGTCCGCCATCTCGGATTCTTCGTCATAAGGAACGATAATAATTCTGAAGATTATTGATTTTGAATCAGTACATACATGTAGTTTTGAAGGTAATATATCTTTGCAGGATATTGATATTAACTATTTTCAGTCAATAAACATTGTGCAAAATTAAATACACAGGAAACATTTTTACATTTAATCAAAATATCAGAAAACTTCTATTAACTTTCCTGGGTGCCAATTGATAATGATGTGCAGATACACCAGAATGAACGAACCCAAACCTTGACATCATGAAATATTAAAATTACTGTATTTTGTATTTATAATGATTTGGTTGTTTTTGTAGGTATCTACAGGAAAGCATAACATTGACCATGAAGCTGAAAAAAAGGCTGAAAAAGAAGAATGGGAGAAAAAGATGGGAATTTTAACTTACTTAGGTCAGAGTTCTTTGGAAAGTCAAGGAGGTAAGTTGTAGAGAGCAAATGTCAAAGTAATGTTTGAAACTGGTTTGTCGCCACTGACTCGCTATATACTTAAGTCAAATTAAGGACTATGAACTTATCAGTAATATTTGCTATGTCTGTTACAAAGCCCATTGATGTATACCATATCCATTCAATAGATCAGAGGTAGCAACAACTGCTATTTTATTGTCCAGTTATAAATCCACTGACTTTCAGTAGGAGAAGGTTATGTGTTTACCCCTTTGGACATGTTGCAGGAGAGATAATTAATTATACATTTTGCAGTGAAATGTAAGGTTTTATGATGACAATATAACTAATCTGAATATTTTCACCCGTTTTTGACCAGTTAGATAACTGTGTTTGCATATGAAATATAATTTATCCCAGAATGCATCGCAAACTTCTGGAAGGATGGTTAACCCTTTTGAACTGTAGGAAACTTGCTTTAATTTAGTTCATTCATCATGGTCAATCTGAATTTAATCCTTAGCTTCTTTCCTATGTAATGTAAAATAAATTGAAACCTTATATCCAGCAAAGTAATGATAATATAGAGTATGCATTTGAGATATAGACAGAGTGGCAAATTCAATATGGCGTCAATGAAAGGTGTGAAGTGTAATAAATGTAATATCCATTGTTTTTTTTATGAATTGCAGATCTATTTTATCTTGTGGGGTGGAAAATTTTATATTTTCAAAATTTCCACCCTACTGGTAATATACAACTGTTATTCATCAAGGAAATAAGAATATGTTATATGTATCCATATTTGAGGCATGTGTGGTCATGATCATAGCTCATTTGATAGAAGTGTTGGCGTGAGTATCCTCAGGTGAAAATCTGAGGTTTGTGATTCAAGGTTTCTCAGAAAACAAAGAAGCAGCCCAGATGCTGTCATGGTTGTGTCCAAAGGCAAGACACTTTCATGGAATTTCTCTTGGTGGCCACCAGCTAATACAACAAGATCATTCCTCAAAATGACCCAATGATAGATAACAGCTGTTGATAAACCCAATAAAGAAAATAATATATTCAAATTTATTTGAATGAATTTATAATGAAGTTAAAGTTTTCATAACTTAATTTGTTTGTTTGATTTATTGACCTGTGCTCAGCCAGGGTTATTTTGAGGGAGGGTCTCCTTGTGAAAGTGATTAGCTACACCACTGAGAAGCATAAGGGAGGTCCATCACATGTTGTCCAGATTGTCTTGCCCGAGGACACAACCGCTTATTTAGTGCTGGAATTAGACTTATTCTACGGAACAATAAATATCTGCTTGTACTTTCTGTTATGGTTAGAGACTAGTCAGATTGGTAAAAAATATTTACAAGACTCGTATAAATATACTGTGCAGTAATTACCAATATAACTAATGTCATTATAGGTTTACACTCACTAATCACTTTGTAGTAACATCTGTATATAAAATGATATACTGAATACTGTCTCTGTAGGCACAGCCCCATGGTATGCTAAGAAAAGAAAAGTAGAAGATGATGAAGATGACGCATTAACCAAAAGGTAATCGAGGTTCTGTAACACAAACGGACAGTTTAATTTCTGGGGATACTAGGAACTTATGACTGGGTCTTGAAATTTTAATGTTTTCTTGAAAACTGCATAGAAAAAAAACAACACTGAAGTACCAAAAACTGTTCCAGAATGTATGGTTTTTCTTAACAAGCAACTTCTGAAACTGTATATCTCTTTGAAACCTTTATGTCATAAATTAATTCAGTTTTTGTTGTAAATTAATTCAGCTTGTGAAATAGATATCATATTGTGAAGAATTCATGAAGATATTATTTTCTTTCTTGCATGTCAAACTTTCTCAATACATGGCCACCATCAAAGTACTGGCCATTCCTTTCGATTCATTGCTAAAATCAATTTATTACAGAGAGCATAAAGACAAGAAGCTAAAAGATTCCCTAGATCCTATACACAAGCTGGAGGGATACCTTAAAAAGAAGAGTCACAAAGATAAAGATCATTCTGACAGACACAAGGTATCCTTACTGTAACCGTTTTTATTCCTCAACATTAATAATTAGATATAAGAATTATAAATGATTGTCTGGTCATCTCTCAGATAATTTTGTTTAATCATTCCTGTGCAAATTCACTGCAATCCCTTTCAGTACTATCAGCTTCAGTTTTTAGGTCACTTGAGACAAATTCTCATGGTGACCTATATTGCAATCACCTTAATTCATACAGCATTGTGCATCTGTAAAAAATTTAACATTTTCAACTTCTCAAAAATTCCTGAATCAATTTTAATGAAATTTTGCAGAAACCTTCCCTGGCCCAAGATGAAACGAAATAGTGAATTATATGGGGTGGAGCCAAAAGGGTCAAATTGACTTTAATTTTAAATGTCTTCTTCTTAACACCCAGATAAGGTAGAATCAAATGCTCTTCATGGATGGAGGCATCTTAATGTGGTTTACAAAAATTGTGAATTTCATGGTCCCAGGGTCTCACATTTCACCGTGGGAAGGGGGTAATTTTACTATGGTTTATATAGGAAAAATAGATTTTTTAGTATAATTTGTTTTCCATTGGAAATATTTCAAACTTGGTTAGAATTATGATTGAAGGATGACGGCATGATGGTATGAATGGATTGATCATGTCTGTCCCGAGGGGCTGTTAGGCAGGGTAAAAAGGGATCAAATTGACTTAAATTTCAAAAATCCTTTGCTGAATTCCAACTGGGAATAACTTATTTATCAGTATAGGGTGAAAGTTTTTATGGTATTCATGTATTGACATTGGCTTACTATCATCAATGTCACAATTTCCTTTTCACAACACTTGAAAGCTACTTTCCCTTTAACCTTTATATTAAATATTGCTGATCTCAGGTGACCATCAAGACCGCAAGGCCTCTTGTTCATGTTTTTATATCACATTTTATAATCTGATAAACTTACAAAAACAGTAACAAAATGCTTGTTTGTCTCCTAGTAACACACATTTCCTAAATCCTAGTCCTAAATGCCACCTAAAGATTGCCCACATTTCAGTACCTATCGTGTCGTATGCTAAATTTCTTCATGCATTATCAAAGTCTTTATATAAGATGTTTATCTCACTTTCATTCTGCTGTCATTGTGTTTGGTTTTGGTTACATTACATTTTCATGCTTTCTTTTTGACAGCACAAACATCACAAACACAAGCACAAGAAAGACAAGGAAAGGTCATCGCAAAGTTCAAAATCAAAAGTCCAAGGGTCAAAGAGCATTGATCAGCTACGTGCAGAGAGACTCAAGAGGGAAGCTGCTGAAAGAAAGAAAACTGCTGCACTGATGGCAAAGGTTAGAGGTGAGAAAGCAGAGGAAGAGGCAGAGGTGAAGGAAGTGAGTGATAGAGATCGACGATACAACTCACAATACAACCCTGAATTTGTGAGACGACCCAGAAAACATTACTCCTGAAAATGAAGGAACATTGATGGAACAGAAAATGTTACTCCTGAAAATGAAGGAACATTGATGGAACAGAAAATATTACTCCTGAAAATGAAGGAACATTGATGGAACAGAAAATATTACTCCTGAAAATGAAGGAACATTGATGAACAGAAAACATTACTCCTGTAGATAAGGAACATTGATGAACAGAAAACATTACTCCTGTAGATAAGGAACATTGATAAACAGAAAACATTACTCCTGAAAATGAAGGAACATTGATGAACAGAAAACATAACTCCTGAAAATGAAGGAACATTGATGAACAGAAAACATTACTCCTGTAGATAAGGAACATTGATGAACAGAAAACATTACTCCTGTAGATAAGGAACATTGATGAACAGAAAACATTACTTCTGAAAATGAAGGAACATTGATGAACAGAAAACATAACTCCTGAAAATGAAGGAACATTGATGAACAGAAAACATTACTCCTGAAAATGAAGGAACATTGATGGAACAGAAAATATTACTCCTGAAAATGAAGGAACATTGATGAACAGAAAACATTACTCCTGTAGATAAGGAACATTGATGAACAGAAAACATTACTCCTGAAAATGAAGGAACATTGATGAACAGAAAACATTACTCCTGTAGATAAGGAACATTGATGAACAGAAAACATTACTCCTGTAGATAAGGAACATTGATGAACAGAAAACATTACTTCTGAAAATGAAGGAACATTGATGAACAGAAAACATAACTCCTGAAAATGAAGGAACATTGATGAACAGAAAACATTACTCCTGAAAATGAAGGAACATTGATGGAACAGAAAATATTACTCCTGAAAATGAAGGAACATTGATGGAACAGAAAATATTACTCCTGAAAATGAAGGAACATTGATGAACAGAAAACATTACTCCTGTAGATAAGGAACATTGATGAACAGAAAACATTACTCCTGTAGATAAGGAACATTGATGAACAGAAAACATAACTCCTGAAAATGAAGGAACATTGATGAACAGAAAACATTACTCCTGAAAATGAAGGAACATTGATGAACAGAAAACATAACTCCTGAAAATGAAGGAACATTGATGAACAGAAAACATAACTCCTGAAAATGAAGGAACATTGATGAACAGAAAACATAACTCCTGAAAATGAAGGAACATTGATGAACAGAAAACATAACTCCTGAAAATGAAGGAACATTGATGAACAGAAAACACTACTCCTGTAAATGAAGGAACATTGATGAACAGAAAACATAACTCCTGAAAATGAAGGAACATTGATGAACAGAAAACACTACTCCTGTAAATGAAGGAACATTGATGAACAGGTTAAAGGAGCTGATTAGTGATGAGGGATGAACAGTGTTTATGTATCTGTTGCAGTATCTGTTGCAGTGTAAGAATTAATAAAGAAGACAAACTTATTTTACTTTCATTCATTTATTGGTAAATTAAAGTTTGAATTCAGATTGCATTCAACACCTACATAGATATCAACTCACATATAGAGAATTTAATAAGTGACTTTGGACAGATCCACTTTTTCATTTAGGTGATATATTCTTTCTCTCACATTCTCATTCTTAGTAATAACTATACAAGCCTCAAATAACATTAATACATTTCTTTTTTTTCAATTACAATTTAAAATCTATTGTAAGTATAGAATTTATTCAAGACAGAACTTAAAACATTTTTATTTTTACACCAACATACAACATGATGATCTGGCTCAATTGTAGAAACTGAAAGCTTTTATTTGAAACAAACAATATAAAGGACATGCAAGCCCACTAGTTCCCCAAAATATTGATTGGGAAATTGTCACATGAAAATCTACATTCATTTAAGACAGATATACACTTCCCTCGTCTCCTCTCTGGTAGAGAACTAACATCTATGAGAGTAACTACATCAGTTAGCCATAAATGACTATAAGTATGTAAGCTTAATGTTCTTGAGAAACTATTAACTAAGTCAAAAAACTTGTTCTAAATCTTACCTGTCACATTTATTTCATGACTGTGAACCTCTGGACTTGTTTACATTTTCATGAATTAAGTAAGTGCTATATGTTTCCACCTATGGCATTACCAGGTAAGTATATATTCACTAAAAACTTGTCTGCAGATTAACACACCAAATATATATCTCAACAAAGCATCGGCCAATCAGATCTAACGATGAGTTTGTTTCTTTATTAAATATGACTTGTGTATATTCTGCTCATCTTCAAATTTAGCAGAAGTAAGCATTCTCATCTTGCATGTATGAATATGTACCAAGATTGACTTATTAACCATTAACATAGGACCTATATTCTCAGGAATAAGTCAGCCAATCGTATTAAAGAAGTAATTGGAGGCAATTCTACGTTGTAACTTCCTATAATAATTAGAGGAGATTTTAAACAGCTTTTATTTTACCTTTATGTTAATCTAAAGATTTAGAAGTTTCAGAGAAGTCATGTTTTACAGGAGGAAAAAAGATCTGAATTTAGAAATAACAAGCGACTCACAGACCTGGACATTCATCTGATTATGTAGACCCAGTAAAGTATTGTTATAGTAGAATACAGCAGATGATGGATGAAACACAATGTTTAAAAATCTAATAGAACAATGACACACAAACACATACACCCTTCAAAATGTTTTTCCAAAAATTACATAGCACAACCACGCACATAAAACCATGCATTAACCAGCAAAGAATATACTGAAATGGATATCAATAGACATTAAAAAATAAATTCTGGACGGTCAAGTAGGATTAAGTACAACATTGTGAGCACAGAAACAATGAGCACATTAAATTTGATATTAATCACATTTCAAAAAATTCATCGAGTTACCAATTACTAAAGATTAAAATACATTTCAAAAACATTCTTTTAATATTTTTCAACTTTATAAATCATTGAAATAGATATGATATGTAGTAGGGGGTGAAAATGAAATATATTTTGTTTACAGTATTGATTTATAGAAAAAATCTGAACTGTGCACCTTATCACAGCCTGTTACTTTTCCACAACCAGAGCAAGCACATTTTTTTTAAAAGTGGTGTAATTGTGTCATCTGGACTACTTCAACTAGTATATACCAAACATTTATAGACTTGGATTAAAATGTAATCAACCACAGCATATATCATAATATGATGTTTTAGAGTAGCATACAACCTTTTAACTCTTCCAGAAATTATAAGACATTGTCTTTAGTGTCATGAATGTGTAAATAAAAACCCTGTAAGGTAAAATATGAGGTAGTATATTACCATAATAAAGAAAAAAAATCACTTCATTAAATCTTCTGACTCTAGCAACAGTGTGTTTCACTAGACCACACTTTTTCTCTCAACTTTTGAGTGTTGATAAAAATTCTTGAATTAAACAAGCTCTCAGTTCTATATGGAATGGAAAAACCTTAATTTGATTTCATCAGTGATAAACCTGAAAAAGACCTCTGTGCTAAAAATTTGATAAAATTATCAACTGAGAAACAGACCCAACCCTGAAGTCCAATATTTGTGTTCTATGGATGGACTGAAAAACATTACATAGCAAGCCATAACTTTATACCAAGAAACAAATATTTTCGACACGTAGCACAAATTCATAAACAGTAAATATCTTACACATTTGTGACTCAAATTGTTGAGTCAAATGTGTATATGGTAGTTGCTATGGAAATTTCTATATACATGTAATGCATAAATATCATAAACCTTTACCATGTATTAAATGTAGTTTCTTTGTATATACAAAAAATGATAAATGAGTTAGATACCAACTGCACCAAATCTCATTTTTATGATATAAGTAATGAACAAACAACTTAGTATGTATGAATATGTATGTTTTTTGCAAATTCAGTGACTGCAAAATTATACCACTAACAAATTAATGAACAATGAAAATAACATATAGCACATGGACGATGTATATGTAATGCATTATTGATAACAATTATTAAGCAGTGTAACAAGATTTCCTTGTAAACATCATTGATTTGGTATATTTTTTCATACATACTTGGAATGTTGAATCAAACATTTTCAGTTTTCAATGGTAATGAAATAAAGAATTTAATTGTAAAAATTTATAAACAAGTCCAGCCTCTAGAATCAGATCTAGAATGGAGAAACATTTTCAAATACATGCATTCACTGTTACTTTATCAAGATTTTGATGACAACTTCCTGTACAAATTTCAGTTTCATCATTTTGCTGGTTTGACCAGGGAAATATTCCTGGTTAGTCAAAACATAAAAGTATTCTATTTATCTTTATTAATCATCTATTTTTTTCAAATTCTGAAGTTGTGAAAAATTTAAACATTCCTCATTGTATGATAACAAATCTAGAACTTGGCTGATGGTGGTTTAATTATATATCTATTACATAGATATATTCTGTTTTATAGTAATATTCATAATGATAAACATTCAAAGCAATGAATTAATGATAAAAATACAGCTGATCAAAAACAACATGAATTTTGTACATCAAAAAATATAGCAAGGTAAATATTGAAATGAATTAATGTGTTGAGACTGATGACTATGTTGAAAATGTATATTACAATATCAGAAATTATTATTGTGGGGTGTCACTATTGATATTGCTGTTAAAAACATAGACATACTGTGGAGTTCAAAAGTTTTAAAATATAACAGCTGCTGTTGATTTTAAAATTCATATACAATTATTCATCCAAATCTCTCAATGAGTGCTTCCAGTGTAATTCCTAAATGGAATACTTTTTATTGCAACAAAAATGTTACACATGGATTGGAATTTGTGAACTGTCCATACCCCGAACCATAACAAATTTCATACTCCCAGCCACAATTACTGTGTCATTCCTACAAGTCCAGGCCAATCCAGTATAAACATTACATGATACATTCTGGTGTAGAATTGATACATGTTCATATAAGACAAAGTGTTGATATACACTCTTCTACAACTCACATACAAATGTTTCTTGGCCACATGTTAAAACATGTACTTGCTAAATTCACCCATGTGTTTTACTGAGAACTGCACATGCTATAATATACAGTCATTTATATATATATATATTTACTTTTGGAAGCTGATGAAACACTTGAAATTCTATTTTGTGTTTACAACTATGTCTGTCCATATTCCTGTGGAATTTCGGCAAGTTTACAGTTAAGGCATATGTTAAGTCTGTCAATGCCCTTGTATAATTTTTAAAAGGCTACCAGTAATGCTGGCGATTGTCCTTCTGTCCTTGTATTACCTCTGACAGGTTTACCACTAGAGCTGGCAATTTTCTACCTATCAGGTATGTCCCTTTAGGATTGTTACAAGCTTGCCACTAAAGATGATGATGAGTCTAACCATGTCCCTGAAGAATTCTGACAGGTTTATAATCATCTATCCATGTTCCTTTGAGATTTCTGACAAGTTTGCTACTAAAGCTGACTATGTTCTATCCATGTCCTTGAAGAATTCTGACAAGTTTACTACTGTGATTGTACACATTAGAACTACTTGATCCATAACTGCTCTGGAAGCTGACACCAACACCCATGATACTGGGAGGTCGGGATGCTACAGACCCTGGGCGTGGAGTATTGGCAACAGTGATGGAGTTCAGCTTCTCTACGGCCTTCTGAGATACCATTTCCTGTGGAAGTAGTAAAGATACTGATAAATCGTTCAGTCCGTTATTTTCGTTGTGTGGCCTGTCAGTGTATTTCTAGACAGATGTGGCAGAAGGACAGGTTGCCTATTGAGGACATAATTCATTTGCATACTGACAGAAATATGTTTTTTTATATATAAGAAGCGTGTAGTTCTATCATAGTGAAAACAATGAACAAATTAATAGAATGATATCTTGTTTCACTGTAAGTACTGAGGATTAAACTGTTCTTAATAATTAACCCTGTAGTCCCAATACCAAAGAATACTTAAATTGAAAATTGTCAAAATATCAAATGAAAGCCTGATAATAAAGCAGTGCTGGTCTTTTGTTCAAGAAATTATTTTCAAAGCAATAAAATCTAATAATGATGCTATTTAAACTTTTTTTCTTATACCAAAGATCACTTTAAATTTTTAATTAATTAACAAGAAATCATTGTGTTAGATTATGCCAATTCATGCAAGAAATAAGAATATATTACCTTTTTGAGATCGTCGATCCGTGTAAGGCTGCGGAGAGCCAGTATAGCACTAACTTGAACACTATGGTGTTGGTCATTACAAGCTAAATCGAGTAATCTGTCAACACAAACCAGTACTTATTACTTCTACTAAGCTTATACATTAAAGATCTGTAAATCAAGTTAGCTATGATTGAATACATATATCTAACTTTGTCGTTTCTAAATCTTTGAAACTGACTTCTTTAAGATTTAAATTTCTGAATATTTACACAACTATTTCTTTTGATATCTAAAGCAGTTACATAACTAATTATAATTGCGCTAAAAATGCAGTATTATTAATTTTCTGGATGATAACAAAATAGTACATTATTACTCACCCTATTACACTGGACAGTTTATAGTTACAAGGATTTTGGGATTTCATTAATGTATTCAATGTGAGCAGGAGAACGATAAAGAAATTTCTTGACCAATAATTATAATCTACCTACAAAAAGTAGGCATGTTGGTCAAGTATTTATACAAAGCCCTCTAATCACTGCTGACACAGATATGTGGTATTATTCATATTTCATTTAAATCAACAAATCAAGTTCATTTGAGATTTTCCTTTAAAGTGACATTGTCACACAGATTCCAGTACATAATTGTCTCCATACATATTCAGAACTTACCGTGATACAACTTTGGCTTTTTTGAGGTCTGAACACAAGGTATTGGAATGTAGACTCATGTTACCAAACACACCTGTGTGGAAATAAAGAAATGTTAACACCTACAAAAGCCATGATTAGCCACAAAAATATGTCCCTTTAGTGAACTTACACACCAGGATAACAGGCAAGAGAAAGATGGAATAATACTCACAATGTGACGACCCAAGAAATAAAGATACTGCACAGGATGAGTGTTGGCGATAATACAGAATATTATATAGTAATGTAATTATCTGACAATTACCTAATGTTAAGAGTTGTTATAGAACATTATACAATAGTATAGTATCGTAGTTATCTGACAATAAGCCCATGCATAGAGATAATACAGAATATTGTATGCTATTGCAGTTATCATACAATCAGCCCATATCTAGATATAATACAGAATATTATATAGTTTTACAGTAATCAGACAACAAGCCATTGGAATGTGGTTTTACTGGAGTAACACTAATTCCTCTGGTTTTCCGAACATCACTACAAACATTTCTTTTTTTATATTAAGTAACATTTGCACTTGTGTTCAAATCTCATTCTGACCTAAAACTTCTGAGGCTGTGGGTTTGAATTGTAAGCACCTATCACTTTTGTTAAAATAATAAGATCAGCTTTTCACTTATTATCTATGCATTAATTTTGAATCTGTATCAGTATTTGAGAGAATGGAAATTTATTTAATTTGAGTTTATACACAACATATCGTCATCCTTATTTGCTGGCTGGTGTGTGTAAGCATGGGTGTATAGGTTATAAATTGATGTAGGTTATTAGTACAGACTTATTACTGACGGTAGATATTAGTTTGTTTACATTTATGTAGGGTGTCTAAATTTAGTATGATGTAAAAGTTCACGTGATCAGAATCAACCAATGAGAGCAGTTGCTTGTAAGAGAGAGAAAAGTGTTGAAAGTGTAGAGAGAAGCAGCACGTGGGCAGGTTTTTAGTGGCATGGGACAGTTATAAAACTTTCTTTGGTATATGCAAGGACGAGAACTACCATTCAGATCGAATTACTGTAATGCGATAGCCAGACGCGGTTTCGTGGGGACGTCCTGTTACAGGCTTGTCCAGCTTCAGCCTTCAGCTTCACCATCGCCATATT